CTGCTCAAACATACAAAACATGAATATGTTTATCTGATTTCAATCGACTATAGCTTCTTCTCTGCAGCAAACGACACAAATCAAAAACTCACAGTATGACAGCTACTTGGTACAATAAAGAGAACAAATAAGCATCAGCTAGAGGGGGTTATAGTATACACTTACGCAAACAGAGGTGGTGAATGCCAGTTGACAACTTTTTCTTGCATGGTAAATATATCCTCAAGGACAGAGAACACCTGTAAAGAGCACCTGGGGTCACCCAAGATGACAAAACCCAAATATTGTTTGGTGTTTTAGAGTCAACTGCAACTTTCCTGTTCCTCAATGTTCTCATCGGTGTAATAGTCAGCCACAGTAGACAATTGCTTTTAGAGAAAAGGCTCTGAAAATGCCACTACACACTACTTGGAACTAAACTGCAGACAAAGTTGCAGATAGCTGGTGAACACAGGAATATTTAGTAGCTAAAGAGCTGCAAATTTCCTTCAAAGGTTAGTGGCAGTTAAACCAAAGCAAAAAAGTGAGAGCAAATATTGGACTTAAATCTATGAGAGGGGCCTAAAACATGACTTCAATTAAAGGTTAAAGTTGCTAATGTTTGCTTACATGTTTGACTTAACTTTATAAGGTGATAGCATGTTAGGGCTTCACAGCTTGTTCTGAGGCTTATGTGCATAACAGAATTAATTGTGTGGATGCTGTAAAGCATCCACACTATGTTATGCAGTTCCTTATTATTATTGTGTGGATGCGTATGCATCCACACTATGTTATGCAGTTCTTTATTATTCTGGTTTCTACCACTGTTCGTCGGCATCTAATTACTGCAGCATACTTTCACCTAGAAGGGCCATTGAGGTATCACACTGTGTATCTCCTTAAGGACATGTGTGCTTGTACACAACTTTTTTATAACTTTTATACTTTTTAAGATATTCAGCTTTTTTTTACAGAAATTTCCCCATTGGAAATGAATGGGGCAAAATTGGAAGCTTAATATCTCCGGCATACCTTGGGCTAGAAGCGCCATTTCAACTTTATTCAACTCGTGAGACGTTCAGCTACCAATGGTGCAAAAATCATCTTGATATCTGTTATGG